CACACAAAGAACACTGAGATCACTAGAGACAAACTTTGGCCTTTTTTTTTTTTTAGGATCTTCTTATTTTCCAGGCTAGTTTGTTTAAAAAAAAAAAAAAAAAAAGAACAAACCAAAAGCTCGAAGAGCGTTAAGCAAGCATGAGGCTATTAAACAGGCACTGCAGGTGATTATTACTGAGGTAGTTCAGAGTGGAGATGAGAGCCCCAGAATGGAGTGTTCAGGGAGAGTGGCAGGGTTGGACGTTTGGAAATTGCAAACTCAAGTGTTCATTTGTTCTTACAAAATTGAAGTGAATTATGTCCAATTCTCAACCATGAATATAAAAAACTGGAAAGTCTTTGTTTAAACTTACATTGTGTACAGAAGTATGAACCATAAGTCAGATTTTGTGGTATGATAAGGAAAATAGTGCTGTCAGCTTATTAATTCCACAAACTTATTAACTGCCTAGTATGTGCTTGGCATTACAAACATAATAAAGTTGAAAAAATTTGGACTTGACCCTTGTAAGATTGTAGGGAAGATTAAACATATAAACTTGTCACAGAAGAGAGAGGGGATAGAGTTATCTTCCATCTGCTGGTTTACTCCCCCAGTGGCTGCAATGACAGGGCCATTGTTAAAAGAAAGATAATGCATCTTGTTTTGGACACGTTCACATTGAGGACATCCGCGTGTAGATCTGCAGGCGCTTGGGTAAATGAGTAAGAAGCTCAGTGAGGCTGTCAGGTTGGAGGGGTGGTTGTGAGTCACTAGTGTATGGGAAGGAGTTGAACTCGTAGGTCACCCACCGGGAGAGGCAAACTGCCGAGCAGAAGACTGAAGACATGGAACTTAGAGGAAGACCAGCATTTAAAGAAGTGGTCAAGATGAGGAGAGATTGGAACTTGGAAGCTAGAGGTAGAGAATTTTCCAGAAAGAAGTCATCAGTATCTATTGTTTTACAGAGTCAAAGATGAGAGTTGAAAGTATTCATTGAGGGGGGCGGCGGCGATATGGTGTAGCGAGTGAGGCCGCTGCTTGCAGTGCCGGCATCCCATATGGGCACCGGTTCAGTCCCGGCTGTTCCACTTCCAATCCAGCTCTCTGCTATGGTCTGGAAGAGCGGTACAAGATGGCCCAAGTTCTTGGGTCCCTGCACCCACGTGGGAGACCCGGAAAAATTTCCTGGCTCCTGGCTTTGGATCGACGTAGCTCCGGCCGTTGTGGCCATCTGGGGAGTCAGCCAGTGGATGGAAGTCCTCTTTCTCTGCCTCTCCTTCTCCCTCTGTGTAACTCTGCCTTTCAAATAAATAAATAAATTTTTTTTTTTTTTTTTTAAAGAAAGAAAGTATCCATTGGGTTTAGCAGTAAGGAGTCCAACTGGTAACCCTTGGTGAGGGCAGTGTCAAGTGAAATGGGCATAGACCAGGTTACAGTGAGTTGAGTGTGAAAGAGAGCATATTAAATGCTGAATAAGCAAGCTGTAAAAAGTTGAAGGGACCATTTTGAAGTTGAGAGTAAATGCCATACAAGAGGAATACATTGCAGTAGGAACACTGAAGGAAGATAACTCATTTCTTTTGGGAGGTTGGGGAGTGATAGTTCTGGAAGAGTTTTTGAATATACTGGATTTCGTTGGTGTGTGGGATGGGTATTGTTGAGGGGATTTCAGGAGAGGCTGGGAGAGGGTATTACAGTCCCAGTAAAGGAAACTGAGGTGCGAAAGGGCCCAAGATGGAAGAATGCTAGTGGACATACTTGGGGAACGGCAGATTGTCTGATTTACCAGAATCCCTGGGTTTATAAAGGGAACCGTGAGAGGAGACTGAGAACTGAGGTTGATGATGAGAGAACTGAATGTGCTGTGGAGGCCTTAAAGTCGTGGAAGCTGTTTCTGCTTTTGATCAGAGAAGCGTGCTCAGAAGGCGAGTTCTGAAATGCTGTGGGTGATGGACTGGGGAGAGGGAAGAATTGTTCTCTGTAGCCGCTGTGGCTGCCCTGTCTAGGAACACAGGAACAGAATCGCTGCTATTGTGCTCGTGCAGCGCTACAAAGGAGGGGCTGTGGTCCTTTGTGCTAACTCACACACAGCCTCTTACCAGCCGCCCCTGCCGGTGCTCAGGCCCCCGGGCTCAGTTGCTGTTCACTGCCCTTCACTGCGTGCAGTAAGCTCTCTCGCCTCTGGACACTAAAAGGCAGATGCAGCTGTTTACTATGAGTATCAGTTCATAGAAATGTGGCAGTGAGACTGTATTTGAAGCCAGTCTTCTAGTTTTCAGGTGGATACTGTCTCACTAGAGAAGATTGATTTTGCCTGTTGCCGTAATATTCAGAAGTCAGCAAATGTTGAAAGCACTGTAGAATGAAAAATTGGCATGGATTCATACTAAGAAAACCAATTCTGTTTTCTAAGCATTTCCCTAGCCTAGCCTGTATCTTAAGGAAAAAATAACTTTCTCATTTAGTATGTTTTAGTAATTTTTAAATGTTAAAAAATTTAGTAGTTTTAAGTCACTGGCATGAGGTACACAGGTAATTTACTTATGAAATACAGTATGGTTATATTCTTATAAAGTGTGGCTTCTTTGACATTATTATGAATAATTAGAGTATAATAAGTTTATAATTTGATGGCTACTATGGAACATGTGGGGGGAAGCTACTTTTACCATACCATTGGGAAATTCTCCAAAGTATTCCTTTCGCAACATGATTTCACTTGTTGAGGTACTTCATGGTAAGTATTTCAACTAAGTGATTATGATTTTTTCTTCTCAAAATCCCTTTATTTGAATTATTTTTATAATTTTTTAAAATTTTTATTATCTTTTAAAAATTTTTGACAGGCAGAGTTAGAGAGAAACAGAGAGAAAAGTCTTCCTTTTTCGTTGGTTCACTCCTCAGATGGCCACTACTGCCGGTGCACTGTGCCAATCTGAAGCCAGGAGCCAGGTGCTTCCTCCTGGTCTCCCATGAGGGTGCAGGGCCCAAGGACTTGGGCCATCCTCCACTGCCCTCCCTGGCCACAGCAGAGAGCTGGACTGGAGGAGGAACATCCGGGACAGAATCCAGCACCCCAACCGGGACTAGAACCCGGGGTGTTGGCACCGCAGGCGGAGGATTAGCCAAGTGAGCCGTGGCGCCGGCCTATTTTAATTATTTTGTAACCCTGTTTTCTTGATTTCCTTTTGGTGTTCTTTTTCCTTTCCTTGCTGACTCTGTGTGTGCTTTTTTCCCCCAATTCTAATCCAACACCCTTAATTTTTTTCCAGCCAAGCTGTATCTTCTAATCTTGGATATAGTACCTCAGATAGTTTAAAAGTAATAGATGAGGGGCAGGCCTTGTGGTGCAGTGGATTAAGCTGCCACTTTGGATGCTCATGTTCCATATCAAGGTGCTGGTTTGAATCCTGGCTACTTTGTTTCTATCCAGCTCCCAGCTGATGTATCTGGGAGGCAGCAGATCATGGCCCAGGTTCTTGAGTTCTTGCCACCCAGGTGGGAGATGCATGGAGTTCCTGCCTCTTGGCCTCATCCCGGTGCCAGCCCTGGCTGTGCGTGCATTTAAGGAGTGAATCAGCAGAGGAGATCTCTCTCTTTGTCTCTCCATCCCTGTCTGTCACTACACCCCTCTCTCTCTGTCACTCTGCCTTTCAAATAAATGAGTAAATCTTAAAAAAGTAATAATAGATGGTATAAAACTAATGTGTTGACTCCACAGGGAGTACCTTAGGTCAGTACTTTGCTATTTGATTTTATTTTCTAAATAGCCTTTACTTATGCTAATATGGTTAATTTTTACCTCCAGTACAGTTTTTTTTTTTTTGTTTTTTGTTTTTTTTTTTTTGACAGGCAGAGTGGACAGTGAGAGAGACAGAGAGAAAGGTCTTCCTTTGCCGTTGGTTCACCCTCCAATGGCCGCCGCGGCCGGCGCACCGCGCTGATCCAATGGCAGGAGCCAGGAGCCAGGAGCCAAGTGCTTTTCCTGGTCTCCCATGGGGTGCAGGGCCCAAGCACCTGGGCCATCCTCCACTGCACTCCCTGGCCACAGCAGAGAGCTGGCCTGGAAGAGGGGCAACCAGGACAGAATCCGGCGCCCCGACCAGGACTAGAACCCGGTGTGCCGGCGCCGCTAGGCGGAGGATTAGCCTAGTGAGCCGCGGCGCCGGCCTCCAGTACAGTTTTGTAATTGGAGTAAACTCAGGATAGGCTGTGAGAAGATAATATTACATTTAGGTGTGTGGCTAAGAGTTTGGGGGAGGGACAGAGAGTGACTATAAGACAACAGTTTCCAGGTTATCTTTCTGGCTGAAAGCCTCCTCAGTATCACCTGGGAACTTCTTAGGAACAAGTTGTCAGCCCTGCACCAGACTTAGTGAATAAAAAATGGGGTGGGGTATTTTTAAAAAATGATTTGTGTATTTATTTGAAAGGCAGAGTTACAAAGAGACAGAGGCAAAGAGAAAGGGAAGTCTTCCATCTGCTGGTTCACTTCCCAAATGGCCACAACAGCTAGAACTGAGCTGATCCAGAGCCAGGAGCTTCTTCCAGGTCTCCCATGTGGGTGCAGGGGCCCAAGGACTTGGACCATCCTCCGCTGCTTTCCCAGGAGCGGAGAGCTCGATTGGAAGTGGAGCAGCTGGGACTTGAACTAGCGCCCATATAGGATGCCAGTGTTGCAGGCCAGGACTTTAACCCTCTGCACCACAGTGCGGGCCCCGTACCTCTCCCCTTAAAAAAAAAGAAAAAACAGTTCTTACAGGTGTGATTTTGATGCATAGTAAATTTAGACAATTCCTATAGGATATGATAAAGAGTCCCCTTCCTTCATTTGTATTGAACTGGTTTTTGGGGTAGTAATTGATGTAGGCCTTTTTTCGCTTGATGGGCAGAGAAAATTAATGCTCTTTTTATTCTCAGGTAGGGATTTTGTACCCGGAGGGAAAGTAATGGATATTCGTAATTTAGTGGTTAAAATATAGGAAGTTTTATTCTGAAATTTTCTTCTCTTTCAGGAGGCAAAACCTTCAACTGAGGACTTGGGGGATAAGAAGGAAGGAGAGTACATTAAACTCAAAGTCATTGGACAGGTGAGTTTCATTCTTTTTTTTTTTTTTTGACAGAGTTAGAAAGTGAAGGAGAGAGAGACAGAGAGAAAGATCTTCCTTTCCATTGGTTCACTCCCCAAATTGCCACTACGGCCAGCACGCTGTGCCGATCTGAAGCCAGGAGCCAGGTGCTTCCTCCTGGTCTCCCATGTGGGTGCAGGGCCCAAGCACTTGGGCCATCCTCCACTGCCTTCCCAGGCCACAGCAGAGAGCTGGACTGGAAGAGGAGTAATCGGGACAGAATCCGGCACCCCGACCGGGACAAGATCCCTGGGTGTTGGCGCCGCAAGGCGGAGGATTAGCCTAGTGAGCCGTGGCACTGGCAAGTTTCATTATTTTTCTTTAACCTCCTCCAATATATGAATCATTTCTCATGCATAGGAAAGAATGATTTAAATAAGACAAAGTGGTGGTATAGAGGGTTAAGCTGCTGCTTGGGATACCTGTGTTCCATATTAGAGTGCCTGGTACCAATTCTTGCTTCTGGTTCTGATCCAGCTTTCTGCTAATGCGTCTGGGAGCAGCAGATGATGGCACAATTGTTTGGGCCCTGCCACCCATGTGAGAGATCCAGATGGAGTTCTTGGCTCCTGGCTTCGGCCTGGCCCAGTTGTGGCTGTTGTGGACATTTGGAGAATGAACCAATGGATGGACGATCTCTTCTGACCCTCTGTTATTCTGCCTTTCAAATAAAATAAATTTTAAAGAAAATAAGTCATTTAAAATGGAATTTTCATTTACTAAATTTTACGTCTGTTGGAGATAGAAGAGGCTTATACTTAAAAAAAAAAATCTGATTATACTTTTGTCAAGAAATGTCTCTAGGAGTTGGTCTTGTGATTCTGTGGTTGAGTCTGGGTTATCTGCCCCCTTTTTTTTTTTTAAGATTTATTTATTTATTTATTTATTTGTTTGACAGGTAGAATTACAGAAAGAGAGACAGAGAGAAAGGTCTTCCTTCCATTGGTTCACTCCCCAAATGGCCGCCACGGCCGGCGCTGTGCCGATCCAAAGCCAGGTGCTTCTTCCTGGTCTCCCATGTGGGTGCAGGGGCCCAAGGACTTGGGCCATCCTCCACTGCTATCCCAGGCCACAACAGAGAGCTGGACTGGAAGAGGAGCATCCAGGACTAGAATTGGTGCCCATATGGGATGCCGGTGCTGCAGGCGGAGGAATAACCTAGTGTGCAACGGCACCGGCCCCCTTTTTTTCTTTTTAATAATTTTTATTAGAGAAAAATCCCCCTCCACTGGTTCACTCTTCAGATGTGCGCAGTCGGCTAGAGCCAGAAGCTGGGAATGTATACCGGTCTCCCCTGGCTTGCCCGTCTGCATGCTCAAGTACCTGAGCTGCCTTTGCTGCCTCGCAGGAAGATGGAGCCATGTCTGGAACCCAGGTTATTCAGACGTCGTGATCATGAGGCTAGATGCCTGCCACAATCCTTTTTGTTTTTTTCCTTTTTTTTTTTTTTTTGAGTCCTGCCTATTTTTCTGTTATGGGAAAAAAGATTTTCACAATCTCTTTTTGCTAATTTTGAACAAAACTGTTTTTCTTGAAATTGTTTAGACTCAAGGAGTGGACACTTTAGTGAGAGGTATCATCTTCATCCTGAGAGGGCTGGCTCTAGGCTAGAACACATTTTGCTATATTTTATGTTTTCTGCTTACCAGTTGATGGACATTTGGTTTGGTTCCATATTTCAGCTATTATGAATAAGAATATGAGCATTTATATATGCTCTGTGGACATGTGTTTTTGGCTTCTTTGTGTATTTACATAGGGGTCAAATTGCTGGGTCCCTTATAGTAACTATCTTTTTAATAATTAAAATTTATTGAAAATAATTTTTAAAAAAGATTTATTTATTTATTTGAAAGGCAGAGTTACACAGAGAAGGAGAGGGAGAGAGAGAGGTCTTCCATCCTCTGGTTCACTCCTCAGTTGGCCACAACGGCCGAGCTGCGCCAGTCTGAAGCCAGGAGTTTCTTCCGGGTCTCCCATGCGGGTGCGGGGCCCAAGGGCTTGAGCCATCTTCTACTGCTTTCCCAGGCTATAGCAGAGAGCTGGATCAGAAGTGGAGCCTCTGGGATGCGAACCAGCGCCCATAAGGGATGCCGGCACTGCAGGCGGTGGCTTTACCCGCTACCCACGGCGCCGGTCCCTAAAATAATTTTTGTTCATTTATTAGAGCACGAGTGCTCCCATCTGGTACTTCACTCCCCAAAATGCCTGGGGCTGGGCTGCGGTCCAAAACACAGGAGCCAGAAACACAAGCCAGGTCTCCCATGTGTGTGGCAGGAATGCAGTTACTTGAGCCATCACTGCTGCCTAACAAGAGTGTGCATTTAGCAGGAAGCCCAAGTTAGGAGCAGGAGCCAAGAATTGAACCTAGGTACTTTGTTGTGGAACACACAGGCATCTAAACTACTAAACACCTGCTTTGCTATGTTTAATAAAGTATTGCCAGATGGTCTCAGCAGTGGCTGCACCCTTTTACATTCTCACCAGAAACATTATGAAAGTTTTAATTTCTCTACATGATCAATACCTGTTATCTTTTTGGTGATAGTCGTTGTAGTGGGGATGAAGTGGGATCTCACTGTGATTTTGATTTGCCTTTTCTTGATGGCTAATGATGTTGAACGTATTTTTATATACTCAATGACCATTTAAAAAAAAAGATTTATGTAAAAGGAACAGTTAGAGAGCTCTTCCACCTACTGGTTTACTTCCCAAAGGGCCGCAATAGCCAAGGCTGAATGAGGCTAAGCCAGGAGCCTGGAAGTCCATCTGGATCTCCCACATTGGTGTTAATGGTCCAACTATTTGAGCTATCTTCTTTCTGGTGCTTTCCCAGGTCCATTAGTAGGTTGTGGGATGGGAAGTGGAGCATCTGGGACTTGAACTGGTGCTCATCTGGGATGCTGACTTTGCAGGCAGTTGCTTCACCTGCTGCGCTACAATGCTGGCCCTGCTTGTTGGCCATTTTACATCTTTGGAAAAGTGTCTAGTCAGGTCTTTTTGCCCATTTGTAAATGGAGTATTTTGTTGAGTTGTCAGTTCTTTATATATTCTGAGTATTAGACCTTAAAACAGATCTATGTTTTGTAGTTATTTTCTCTCATTTTTGGGGTAGTCTTCACATTCTAGGTTGCGTCCTTTGCAGTGTACTGTTCTTAATTTTATTGAATTAAGTTTATCTATTTTTGTTGTTGCTTTAATTTGGTATTATAGCTAAGAAACTGTTGCTAATCCAGGGTCACAAAGTTTTTTTTTTTTTTTCCATAATAACAGCTACATTTTAATGAGCATCTACAATGTGCCAAATATTATGCCAGAGACAACCGTATATTACCTCATTTATCTTTATTGCATCTTACAGAGATGAGGAAACCAAGGCTCAAATGAATGTATTGAGTTGCCCGAGATTCTTTTTTTTTCCCCCAAAGAAGCCTTTTATTTAAGGAATACAAACTTCATGCATTTCATAAGTACTTTAGGTATATGGTTCTTCCCACCATATCCGCCTTCCCACCCACATTTCCACCCCTCCTCCTCCTCCCTCTCCTAATCCCATTCTCATTCTCTACTAAGCTCTATTTTTGATTAACTTTATACACAGAAGATCAGCTCTATTCTAAGTAAAAAGTTCAACAGATTGCATGAAAGAAAAACAACAAAACTGTTCATCAGTAGTCAAGATGAGGGCTGTTCAAAGTCATTGCATCTTGAAGTTGATTTTACTTTTACTTGTCTTTTTTTTTTTTTTTTAAGAAACTTAATTAACTTAAAGAAGCACCCAAAAATAACTCTGAGGACAGTGGTCCTGCATAGGAAGTTAGTGCACAGTGACTCCTGTTGTTAATTTAACAGTTAACTCTTATGTATGATGTCAGTAATCACCTGAGGCTCTTGACATGAGCTGCCTGGGATGTGGAAGCCTTTTGAATCCACAAACTTTGTCAGTATTTAGACAAGGCCATAAGCAAAGTGGAAGTTCTCTCCTCCTTTTAGAAAAAAGTACCTCCTTTGATTCAGGATCATGAAGATTTACACCTGTGGTTTCTTCTGAGTTTTATAATTTTAACACATCTTCATTTTGAGTAATTTTTGTATGGGTTTGTTGTCCCAGACCATTAGTTGAAAAGACTGTCTTTTACAAAAAAAAAAAAAAAAAGTGTTTTTCCTATTGACATGTCTCGGCATCTTTGTCAAAAATGAGTTGACTATAGATACATGAGCATAGGTTTATTTCTGGGCTCTCAGTTTTATAAAAGCCTTTGATCTGTGTGTCTCTGTACACCATGGATTGCCCTTTTAAGAATTATTAATTTTTTTGGGTTCTTTGTATTGTCCTGCTTACCCTTGTCTGTCACATATGTTGTGAATATTTCCTCCAATGTGGTTTATGTTTTAGGTTGCATTTATCCATTTTTCTTTTTTTAATGGTTTCTAGGTTAAAATACTGCTTTATAATAAAGACTATTTTTAGGATATATTTTATTTATTTGAAAGAGTTAGAGAGAGGGTGAGACAGATCTTCTATCCTGTGGTTTACTCCTCAAATGACTGCAATGGCTAGGGCTAGGCCAGGCTGAAGCCAGGAGCCTGGAACGCATCCAGGTCTCCCATGTGGGCAGCCAAGGTCCAAGCACTTGGGCCATTTTCTGTTGCTTTCCCAGGCATGTGAGCAGGGAGCTGCATCAGAAGTGGAGCAGCTGGGGCTTGAACTGTTATGGCACAATGCTGGCCCCAAACTTTTCTCTTAAAAAAGAGGAAAAATATTAAAAATATTTAAAAAATATTTATTTGAAATGAAGAGAGAGAGATTGAGGTCTTCTGTTTGCTGGCTCATTGTCCAAATGTGCACCACTGTCTGGTCTGTGACAGGCCTAAGCCAGGAGCCTGGAACTCAATCTCAGTGTCAGATGGGTGTCAGGCATCCAACTACTTAAGCCACCTCCTGCTCCCTCCCCAGAGTGCACGTTAGCAGGAAGCTGGATCAGAAATGGAGCTGGAATTCAAACGCAGGGACCCCAATATGGAATGTGGGAGCCCTAGGAGGAAAATTAACTGCTGCACCAAATGCTCACGACTAAAATGAAAAATGTACTGTTCTTTATTTCATCTGGAGGTGATGATTTTAGTGTATTGTTTGAGATGTGCGATAGTTTATGGTCTAGTCACACCATCCTGAAGGTGCCTGATCTCAGTAAGAAATTATGGGAAGAGAACTTTTCTTTCCCCTCCCCTCCCCTCCCCTCCCCTCCCCTCCCCTCCCCCCTCCCCTGCCCTCCTCTCCTCTCTTCTCCCCTGCCCTGCCCTCCCCTCCCCTCCTCTCTCTTCCTCTCTCCTCTCCCCTCCCCTCCCCTCCCCTCTCCTCCCCTCTCTTCTCTTTTTTCCTTTTTTTTTTTTTTGACAGGCAGAGTGGACAGTGAGAGAGAGACAGAGAGAAAGGTCTTCCTTTGCCGTTGGTTCACCCTCCAATGGCCGCCGCGGCCGGCACACTGCGGCCGGCGCACCGCGCTGATCCGATGGCAGGAGCTGGTCTCCCATGGGGGGCAGGGCCCAAGTACTTGGGCCATCCTCCACTGCACTCCCTGGCCATAGCAGAGAGCTGGCCTGGAAGAGGGGCAACCGGGACAGAATCCGGCGCCCTGACCGGGACTAGAACCCGGTGTGCTGGCGCCACAAGGTGGAGGATTAGCCTAGTGAGCTGTGGCACCGGCCTCTTTTTTCTTTTCAGATTTTATTTATTTTACGAGAGAGAAGGAGAGGCAGAGAGAGAGAGAGAGAGAGGTCTTCCATCTGCTAGTTCACTCCCCAGATGACCACAATGGCCGGAGCTGCACTGATCTGGAGCCAGGAGCCAGGAGCTTCTTCTGGGTCTCCCATGTGAGTGCAGGGGCCCAAGCACTTGGGCCATCTTCCACTGCTTTCCCAGGCCATAGCAGAGAGCTGGATAGGAAGTGGAGCAGCTGGGACTAGAACCGGTGCCCATATGGGATGCGGGCACTGCAGGTGGCAGCTTTATCCATTACGCCACAGAGCCGGCCCCGAGAAGTTTCTTTTCTTCATAGTTACTCTCATAAAAATATTATGAAGGAGCATTCATTTGGCCTAGTAGTTAAGATGCCTGTATCCCACATCAGAGTACCTGAATCCAATTCCCAGCTCCAACTCTTTTATTTATTTTTAAATTTATTTATTTGAAAGGCAGAGTTAGAGAGGGAGATGGAGATCTTTCATCTGCTGGTTCACTCCCCAGATCAAAAGTGGATAAAAATTCTCATTATCTTACACCATCACCAACGCTACTTGTGACATGTCGATCGTCCAAGTATAGGATCGGGTAGGATCAGTCCTAAAAGGCAGCATGCCACAGCACCCACTCCCCGCTCCAACTCTGGATTCCAGCTTCTTGCCAGTGCAGATGTGGGAGGCAGAGGGATGACTCAAGTAATTGGGATTCTGCCTCTCATTGGGAAACCTGGATTGAGTTCTTGGCTCTTGGCTTCAGTCTTTGCCTTTGTCATCAGTTGGGGAATGAACCAGTGGAAAAGATCTTGCTCTGTGTCTCTGTCTCTATCTGCCTTGCAAATAATAATTTAAATATTTTCTTTCTTTAAAAAAATTATACGGATGAAACTTTTGCTGATACACATTTGTGAACATGATATGTATCAATAAGGGTCAGCTTTGAAACTGTACAGTCTGCAAATGCCAATATATAAATTCCATGAGGTAGCTTTCTGTGGCAGGAATATTTCTCCTTCTGTTTCATGGCACACGTCTGTCTCCTACATTTGAACACCTTCATGGACACTTTACTTGGGGGGCATAATTTTTTGAGTTGCTTTTGTGAATGTGATAGTTTGTCTTTAATTTTGACAGTAGAGTAGATATGCAGTAATGAAGGAATGCATTCCTTCACATTAATACTTTTTACTTATGTTGATAATTTTAGTACCTACAATGTTTGTTTTATTAAATTTTTTTTGTAGTGGAGCTATAGCAATTTTGAAAATGATTAGTTTTTTTTTTAAAGTTTACTCTTATTTATTTGAAAGGCAGAGATGGGGGTGGAGAGAGAGAGAACAGATCTTCATCTGCTGGTTCACTCCCTACATGCCCGCAACAGCCAGAGTTGGTCCAGGCCAAAGCCAGGAGCCGGGAACTCCATCCAGGTCCCCCTCGGTTGGTGGTAGAGGCCTAAGCACTTGGGTCATCATCTGCTGCTTCTCTGGATGCATTAGCAGGAAGCAGGATCAGAAGTGGAGGAGCTGGGACTCAAACTGGTACTCTGATATGATGGGGTATTCTAAGGGCAAGCTTAACCCACTGTGCCACAGTGCCTGCCCCTGATTAAAGTGTTTTAATAAAACCAGTTAGGGGGGCCAGCGCTGTGGCGCAGTGGGTTAACGCTCTGGCCTGAAGCACCGGCATCCCAAATGGGTGCTGGTTCTAGTCCTGGCTGCTCCTCTTCCAGTCCAGCTCTCTGCTATGGCCTGGGAAAGCAGTAGAAGATGGCCCAAGTTCTTGGGCCCCTGCACCCACGTGTGAGACCCAGAAGAAGCTCCTGGCTCCGGATCGGCGCAGCTCTGGCCATTGCGGCTATCTGGGGAGTGAACCAGCAGATGGAAGACCTCTCTCTCTGCCTCTCCTCTCTCTGTGTAACTCTGACTTTCAAGTAAAATAAATAAATCTTTTTTAAAAAAATAAGAAAAACAGGAATGCTAAATATATTTTTATGGAAAAATATAGGTGTCAAGGTTTATGTTTCTAGTTCTATATATGTAAGTTCCAACAAAGCAAGTAGTTTATACAAAGAGGGGTAATTTTTTTTCTTTTATCTCCTTAGGATAGCAGTGAGATTCATTTCAAAGTGAAAATGACAACACATCTCAAGAAACTCAAAGAATCATACTGTCAAAGACAGGTGTGTATATTGTGATCTTTAAATACTGTGTTTTGCCATATATTTTCCTTTTACTGAAGGTTGTCAAAAGAAAGATCCTATTTTTACCATTAGCGAGCAAGGAAAATACCCTAATGTTACCATTTCTTATATCCTGTTTAATTGCCTTTTTTTCTCTTGTGACCCATTTCAAAATTTGAATTCAAAGATGTAGAACTAGTTTCCAAAATAGGCCAAGGATTGTAAAGACATCTCAAACAACTGTCTATATAGAATTCATTTGAAACAGAGTTACAGAGAGGGAGAGAGAAAGAAGTCTTTCCCTCTGGTTCACTCCCCAATTGGCTATAATGGCCAGAGCTGGACCAATCTGAAGCCAGGAGCCAGGAGCTTCTTCTTTGTCTCCCATGCAGATGCAGGGGCCGGGCCCTGGGCCGTCTTCTACTGCTTTCCCAGGCCATAGCAGAGAGCTGGATTGGAAGTGGAGCAGCTGGGACTCAAACCCACACCCATATGGGATGCTGGCACTACTGCAAGCACCGGCTTTACCCACTGTGCCACAGTGCTAGCCCAAACTGTTTCTGTCTTGATGTCTTACTAGTGGATATAATAGTAAAAGCAAATAATTTTTGGTGATTATGAAATTTCCTTATGCTTCTAACTGGAGGTTTTAGCCATATGTTACATTTAAGTACTAAATTATCAGTACAATGTCTTTATGCATAGTAGTACATGTTATTGCTAATTGCATTTGAAATATCAAGCAATTTTCTGTTTAAAGAAAGTTCTTATGGAAGTCCAGTTAATTTTTTAATACCAAATCCTCACAGATTCTGGCCTTCATGATCTAGATTATTAGATCAGTAGCGAATTCCTTTCACCTGCCTGATTTAAATTTGGATTCTAGCACTGTGATGGGCAAGTTATTGAGCCTCACTGTGCCTTACTTCCCCCTTAGTAAAATACTAATATTGTATTAGTACTGCCTTAGGAAGATGCGATGCTGTAACCTGTGTAAAACTCAGACTGTGGTGCCCGAACTTGCGCAGGGACTGTTACCTGTTGTTACCATTATTAACAGAGCTTAAAAATAAGTGTAATTAGAATAAATATGTTTATATAAGATAACCAAGGCATATTTTAGGTGACGTGAAATTCGTTAATAAGCAAGAAATGGGTTTAATTAGTCTATTAAAATTATTTACATATTAATGTATTATGGATTTTATTGTATATGGTTTGCTTTTTTAATTGTTGGGATTTGTAACATGATTTAGTCAGCAGAAAGTGATTAGCTGTTAAGTGAAACAGTTTTGTCTCTGCTGTTAATGTAGGTTTTAATTGTTAAACTCAGTAAAATCTCATAATGGAGGCTCAGCTGATTCACATTAATAATTTTGGTGGGAGCTAAAATTGAGAAGAAATTCACCCAGAGAAAGGGACATTTACTCATTATGTGCACTATAAGTGCACGTACGCTATAAGTACTTAAAATACATTGTCATTTTAATACTTAAAACTCTGAAGCAAATTCTGCTTTCTCAGGCCTTTAGCAGGGAGCTGGATTGGAATTGGAGCAGCCAGGACCCAAACTGGCGCCCATATGGATGCCAGCATCACAGGCAGTGGCTTTACCCCCTATGCCACAACACTGGCCCATCATTCTGCCATTTTATTTTATGGATTGGTTTCTGTAGGAACTTTATTTGATCGGCAAAGTGACAGGGAGAAACAGAGAAAGAGCTCTTCCGTCAGTTGGTTCACTCCCCAAATGGCTGTGAGGATTGAGACTGGGCCAGACTGAAGCTAGTATCCAGGAACTCCTGGGTGTCCCTTAGGGGTGGTGGGATCCAGCTACTTGGTCATCTCCCACTGCCTTTCCAGATGCTTTATCAGGGAGCTGGATCAGAAGCGGAGCAGCTGGGACTGGAACAGGTACTCTGCTATCCAGTGGTGACGGTGCAGACTGCGTCTTAACCTGCTGTGCCAGAGTGCTGGCCCTGCTAGGTCACAGAGTTTAGCAAAAATGAATAGAGGGTTGTGATCTAGAACACAGGCCTAGAAGCAGGTTTGCGCTTAAATTCTTGACTGGATTGTGTGCTTTCTCTAAACCTAGAGTTCTCTAGCTGTAAAATGAAGATAAGGTGATACTACTACCTTCCAGGATTGTTAGGAACAGTTACGACTATGCATATGAAATACTTGGTACTGGGATGGCTTAGCAAATGGTTGGTACTCAGTATATGGTGATTCTGATAGAATCAGCTGCCTAGTTTTATGTGCTATATAAGGCTTTCATGCTTGCTTTTTGTGCCTCAAAGCTTCTGTTACAAGATTTGTATATTTTTTTTTTTTTACACCTTTTTAGGGCGTTCCAATGAATTCACTCAGGTTTCTCTTTGAAGGTCAGAGAATTGCTGATAATCATACTCCAAAAGAAGTGAGTATAATCTCTTTGAATGAGGGAGATTTTAAATTTTCCTTTAAACAATTTTGTTCTTTGAGCAGTGTATCATTTGCCAGGGAGAAAACAAATGTTTGGGGTTGAATTCAAACGATATTTTCAAAAGTGCCAGTAAAAAGGGAGGAGGAAGCTGGGAATTGAGTGCTGAAATCGTAATAAGGCACATACTACTTTAAAAAAAAAAAAAAAAACTGAGAGGCAGAGAGACAGACAGGAGAGCTCCTGTGTGCAGCCACTGTCTGCGATGCCTGGAGTGGGGGCTGGGACTGGAGCCGGGGATTTAACCGAGGTTTCCAATGTGCCTGGCAGGAACTCAGTTACTTGAGCCATCACTGCTGCCTCCTAGGGGTGCACATTAGCAGGAAGCTGGAGCCTGGTATTGCATGCACATACTGCAGCGTAGGATATCAGCCACTCAACTGCTAGGCGACTACCTGTGCCCGATGTCTTTTCTCAAAGGTAGATAAGCGGTCCTCAGATTTGGTAGCCTTTTAGTACTCTCTCATGGTGATGATGACCTTAAGGTTGAATTTTAATTTCTGACCCATTTTGAGAATGTTAGTACAGAAGCTTAGTGTAAACTAATGTATTTGGCTCTGTCATCTGTTTTTTAATGTATCTTCATTTAATTGTTTTAGTGTATGGGCTGTTTGCTTATTTATCCCAACTTCCCACCCTCAAATAGAGACATTTTGAAGTATGTATGTATATTTGTGTATATATTTATCTGTATGTAGATCCCATCCTCCATATACAAAATAACATTTTGAAAACACTGCAGATTTACTGATATGAGACTAGTGCAATATTCTTGTACATACCTTTTTCTTAGGTTACCAGTTATTACTATATTTGCTATCACTCTTACTGAACATTTGAGTTTCAGTTGTAGATATGACTCTTTAAAAAAAACCATGCAGAAATATTTAAGGGTAAAAATTTATTTGAAAGTCAGGTTACACAGAGAAGGAGAGGCAGGGAGAGTTTGTCCATCCGCTGGTTCACTCCCCAGTTGGCCACAACAGCTCTGATCCGAAGCCAGGAACTTCTTCGGGGTTTCCCACGTGGGTGCAGGGGTCCAAGGAATTGGGCCATCTTCTGCTTTCCCAGGCTGTAGCAGAGAGCTGCTGTGCCACAGCGCCGGCCCCTTAATGTAGATAGTCTTCTTAAAAAATTAAAATAGATCTTACCACTTGTCTTTACCAGACTCATCCAGAATATGCATTCTAACTAGTGAACATGCCTCTTTGACCTTTTTTTTTGTTTGTTTTTTTTTTTTTTTTTTTTGACAGGCAGAGTGGACAGTGAGAGAGAGAGACAGAGAGAAAGGTCTTCCTTTGCCGTTGGTTCACCCTCCAATGGCCGCCGCGGTCGGCGCGCTGCGGCCGGCGCACCGCGCTGATCCGATGGCAGGAGCCAGGAGCCAGGTGCTTTTCCTGGTCTCCCATGGGGTGCAGGGCCCAAGCACCTGGGCCATCCTCCACTGCACTCCCTGACCACAGCAGAGGGCTGGCCTGGAAGAGGGGCAACCGGGACAGAATCCGGTGCCCCGACCGGGACTAGAACCCGGTGTGCCGGCGCCGCTAGGTGGAGGATTAGCCTAGTGAGCCGCGGCGCCGGCCCTCTTTGACCTTTAATCTGGGATAATTTCTTGGTGTTTTTTTTCCCCCACCTTATCACATTGCCTTTTTTTTTTTTTTTTGAGTAAAAGCTAATTTCCCTTTTAGAGATAAGTCCCCCGGGCTGGGCTGGTGTTTTCTTGTGATCAGGTTTAAGTGTTGGCGGTTTGGGAGAAATCTGAGTGAAGACTTGAAAGGCAGAGACACTCACAAAGGTCTTCTTTGGTTCGTGCTCCAAATGCCTGCAACACCCAGGGCTGGGCCTGGTGCTTTGAATTCATTTCAGGTCTCCCACTTGAGTGATAGGAACCCAAGTATTTGAGCCATCATCTGCTACTGCCTAGGGTGTGCATTTAGCAGGAAGCTGCATCAGTAGCAGAGAAACCAGAACTTGAACTCATGGTCACTGATGTGGGAAGCAGTGTCTCATGCCTACCCCAAGAGTCCTGTGCTGCTTCTGAGTGTAGCACATCATGGGGTACGTGATGCTTGTCCATCCCATTATGGGTGATGTTAACTTTGGACACTTAGCAAAAGTGAAAATTGTTTCATCCACTGTGGAGTTATTTTCCCTTGTAATAAGTAATCTGTGGGGAAGAGTCTTTTAAATTATCTGAATATCCTTCCTTAGGTATTGACCAGTGGTGGCCTTTTCAAGTTGGTGTCTGTTCTGACATTTTGTTTTTACTGAAATAATTCAGCTTATAGAGTAGTTGTTAGTAAAGAAAATCCCCATGTATTCTCCATATGGATTCACCAGTTTAACATTTTGCTACTTCTGCTCATTATGTGTATGTATATATATTTCTTTCCATCCAGGTCATTTGGGAATAGATTGTATACACCATGACCATATATTGCTGATTATTTTGGTTTGTATCTTTTAAAGATTTGAAAGGCAGAGGTACCGCGAGTGAGCAAGCAAGAGATCTTCCATCCACTTATTCACTCCCCAAATGGCTGCAACGGCCAGGACTGGGTCAGGTTGAAGCCAGGAGCCTCATCTGGTCTCCCACAGTGGTGCAGGGGGCCCTGGGTATTAGGCATCTTTTGCTGCTCTCCCAGGCATATTATTAGCAGGGATCTGGATCAGAAATGGAGCAGCTGGGACATGAACATGGGATGCTGGCATTGCAGTGCCATCGTGGCAGCCCTTGGCCTTCTAGTGGAAACAGTTGTCATTTTTCTTTTCAGCTGGCCCATATGTGTTTCTCAGCCCTGGCTACACACCAGAATCTTACCCTCGACTGAGGGGAACGCCTGACTTCTGTAGCGATCCCATTTCCTCTATGTACTTCCTTTTTGAAGTCAGTAATGCTCATAAAAATAAAATGCAAATTACTAAACCATTAAAAGTAGAAAATAAACCCGGGATATCTGCAGAGTGTTCCCACCTCTCAGAGGCAACCGTTGTTAAATAGTGTATACAGGAAAAAAATTCCAGAGTATTTCAGTGCATGTAAAGCACACAAAAAATTGTTTATACTTTACCTAACGTTATAAAAGACCCTTTTTCTCCCCACTTTTCTCTTTAAGAATTGAGATGGGAGGAGATAAAAAATTAAGGCTAGAAATATTAGGAGTAGATTGGTAATCCCTGCTCATGGCAGAAAATACACGTAAGAAAATAGTTGTATGCCAAAAAGAATTTTAAATGACAGGCAAAACACTTAGAAGTGAATCTTTAGGCAATATTTTTGTAAATAAAATCTCATTTTGAAGTGAAATCAAGGGGCTGGCGCTATGGTATAGCCGCTGTCTGTAATACCTGCTTCCCATATGGGTGCCTGTTGGAGTCCTGGCTGCTCCACTTCCGCTCCAGCTCTCTGCTATGGCCTGGGAAGGCAGTGGAAGATGGCCCAAGTCCTTGGGCCCCTGCACCCACGTGGGAGACCTGGAAGAAGCTCCTGGCTTCCAGATGGGCCCAGCTCCAGTCATTGCAGCCATTTGGGGAGTGAACCAGCGGATAGAAGATCTCCCTCCCTCTCCCACCCCCACCCACTGTGCCTCTAAGTCTGCCTTTCAAATAAATCTTAAATCAAGGTTTTTGATAGAAATGATATTCTGTCAAGCAATTACATCTAAAAGTAAAATGCTTTTTAGAAGCCAAATCATTAAACAAGCTTCATTAGACTTCCAACTTTAACATAGTTGTCAAACACTTCAGTTTTATACAATAAAGTTGACTCAGAAGAAGAAAAGGAATAAATGCATAGACAGAATCAGGAGAGCCATACCTCTGTGTTCTTTTAAGGAAAGCCAAGTCGGTCTGAAATCTGAGGAATGTAACTGTGGGTCACATTTGCAGCCCTTGGTCCTTTAAAATGGTGGCTACATAATTGTGGTAAATTTAAAAATAGTGCTTTTATATTCTAACATTTTTCTTTCCTCTTACAGCTGGGAATGGAGGAAGAAGATGTGATTGAAGTTTATCAGGAACAAACAGGGGGTCATTCAACGGTTTAGATACTCTTTATTTTTTTTTTTCTTTTCCCTTAATCCTTTTTTATTTTTAAAAATAGTTCTTTTGTAATGTGGTGTTCAAAAAATGGAATTGAAAACTGGCACCCCATCTCTTTAAAACATCTGGTAATTTGAATTCTAGTGCTCTCCATTCTTGTTTTCATTGTGCTGATTTTTGGTGATCAAGCCTCAGCCCCCTTCAGAGGGCCCTCTCTTTTTTAAGATTCCGTGTGTACACAGAGAGGCCACCTTTTTCAGGACTGTGCGTTTTCAGGCTTGTGGTGATGATTAAGAATGACTTTCCAATTGGCCCTGAGATCCTAACAGGTGATTGCTTCACTCCTGGACTGTGACTTTCAGTGGGAGATGGAAGTTCTTCAGAGGACGGAACTGTGGAAAAATGACCTTTCCTTGACTCGAAGCTACTTCTAAAAATCTGAGGGTCTGGACCAAAAGAAGAGGAATATCAGGTTGGTGTCAAGACGACAGATTCGGTGAGAGAAATGACTAACTCCAAAGATGGCTTCACTGGAGAGAAAGCATTTTAATTAAGATTAAAAAAAAATCTTGTCAGAAGATCCCAGAAAAGTTCTGATTTTCATAAGCAGTTAATAAAATTACTCATGCAGAAGTGTACAACAGAACACTGCTCCTTTTGATTTCATTTGTACTTTTTGGCCTGGGATATGGGTTTTAAATGGACATTGTCTGTACCAGCTTCATTAAAATAAACGATATTTGTAAAAACCGTACTAATGCTTATTTTATTTTAATTGTATAGGAAGGAAAATGAATGCCTAAATTAAGGTTTTCTTGTATAATACTGGAAACTGTTTGCACATAGTACAATTTTTTTCTTCACTACTGTACAGTGATGTTAATGACTTTGAAGCACTGAAAGTTACTGAAGTGCCTTCTCAATCAAGGATTTAATTAAGGCCACAATAACCTTTTTTAAATACTCAGTGTTCTGTTTTTTTAAAACTCGATATTCGTGTATGGTGCATATGATAGTTATCCAAACCTGTTGAATACATGGGCACACCAAAAATTACTGATTTATATTGATAATTTCAGTTCTTCAACAATTTCAAAATGTTCTGTGTAGTTAAGGTTTGATAATTTTTTTCCTTTATATCGTAAATATTTAAACTTTGTAAAATTAAAATGCCGTATTAGTTCTTATTAGCTGGCTTCACTTTTCCTTTTAACTCTAATGAATCACATAATTTGGTATACTTATGCATACACATAATTCAGTTTCATTTTATTCCAAAGAGAATGTCAGCTGACCATTTAAGAGCAAATAAAACTTGAATGCATTTTACAAACTGTTACAGCTACTGAAGTCACCTGTTGAAAAATAGATTGATCTTACACATTCTTATATTTGACCCTTAATTAAAAAATCACTTGTATTGTGTGAAGTTAGGTCTTTTAGACTTATATGGCAATTACCATATTCATTATAGTACTAGGAAGTAGGCCCATTTTTAGAAAACGCTTTTGAGTTGTATACTTTTGTTGAGATTGAATAACAAATCATATTGGCCATCTGAGCTAATTCAAAATGCATGAATCTAGTTTACTATTTTAATTCTGTTTGTGTCTAAGTGTCTGAAGGCTCTCAGCATTCAGGTGGTGTAGCTTACTTAGGTACTGGGGAAATAGCTTTTAGCTTATTGGATTCTTCTAAATGCATTGCACTCTATGGTTAACCTTAAAAATGCTTATCAGGTATAGGAGAGCTGATCAAATAGGCATTTGATGGCAAAAATGTAAAAGAGCATCAGATTGGAGGGGACTTTGAGTAACATTTAGTGTAGCTACTCTCGCTGGTCCTTGACTACACATCCTAAATTTGTAAAAGAGGGGAGAAAGAAAATCAATAATAATTTCTCCCATGAGGATATTTTCTTTATTCATTCTGTTCTTGAATTATTTGACATGCCCCTTTCTTACCTAATTTTTTAAATTTATTTTATTTTTGTTTTGACAGGCAAAGTTAGAGAGAGAGAAAGGTCTTCCTTTTTCCATTGGTTCACCCCCTAAATGGCTGCCACGGCTGGCGTGCTGCACCGATCGGAAGCCAGGAGCTTCCTCCTGGTCTCCCATGTGGGTGCAGGGCCCAAGCACTTGGGCCATCCTCCACTGCCCTCCCGGGCCACAGCAGAGAGCTGGACTGCAAGAGGAGCAACCGGGACAGAATCTGGTGCCCCAACCGGGACTAGAACCCAGGGTGCCGGCACCGCAGGCGGAGTATTAGCCTAGTGAGCCGTGGTGCCAGCCTTACCTATTTAATTACTAGTGAATGAATCAGTGTGCAGGTAGAGTTGTCAAACTCAAAAAAGTTGAAATTACATGTTTAAATTCACTATGACACAAGTATTTTGTCCAATTTGTTTCATTTTACCTAAAACAAGGAGTTTAAGTATCTAGTCTAAGCAAGTCCAATAATGGAGCAATACAGAATCTAAACCAAGCCCAATTTCTGGGTTGTAGCAGATATTTAGAAAGCAACTATGAACTTTGAGAAATTGCAGGGAATTAGCTGCAAATAGTAAGCTTTGCAGCTGTGGGAAGTGTAGAGTAGGGCTGAAGGAAATCTGTAGGAGAATTTAGGTTCCGATCTTTTGCTTTATTTACTATCTATTTTCTTTTCATTTTATTTGAAGGGCAGAGAGATCTTCTACCTCCTGGTTGACTCCCCAGATAACTCCAACAACCAGGGCTGGGCCAGGCCAAAGCCAGCACCCCAGAGTTCTAAATGGATCTTCCACAGGGGTAGCAAGGACCCAAGTATTTGAGCCATCATCTACCTCTAAGGATATACATTAGCAGGAAGCCAGATAGGAAGTAAAAGAGCCAAGACTCAACCCAGGCACTCCAGTTTGGGAGATAGGTGTCCCACACAGTGTGTTCACTGCTGCACCAAATGTCCACTCCTAAATGGGGGAAATTTGTGAGTAGCTGGTTAGCTACTCACAGGGCACAGTTAGGTGCAGAAAAATGAGTATTTGCTAACTTTCAGGTCTTCAGAATAATGCTGTCCCATCGAACTCTGTGTTTTACAGTAGTAGCCAGAAGCTGCGTGTGGTCATTGAGAACTGGCAGGTGGCTAGTTGAAGGTGGTTTTAAATAGCTACACGTGACTGACTGGTAAGCCATCTGACTGGATGCTACTTTACAATCTGTACTTTAAGGATGTGAGGAGAGACTCACAAAACAGCTCATTTTGCTCATCAAGGGATTATAAACACCTTGTTCTAAATAGAGATTAAACTTTAGACTCAGGATGAAATGGCTGTGGTTTTGCTTTATGAAGAGATTTATAATAAAATTCTTAATGTATGAATAAATGAGTATGAATCAGCTCCTTTTAGTGAATTGAGAATTACTGTTTATCTTTAAAAAAAAAAAAAAAAGCCTACCTGCAGCTCATTCAGACACATTGACATGAATGAAATACCTTGAAAATCCTAAGACCATGTTCGTGTTCCAAGCAAATTATGAAGTCATGGCCAGTTTTAGACACCTACTTACGTGGTTCTAGAAAAAGGATTTAGGCGAGTGAAGAAATTAACTGTGCTGAACGTTGTGTGTGGTGGAGAGAGCTGGTGGGAAGGGAAGTTCCAAAGTGCAGAAAATCTTAGGTGTGGGTTGAGGTGAGCCAGACTGGGCTCAGGATGGAACCTGAGAGTAAAGCAAGTTTGTCCCGACTTACTTTTCAGTTTTCTTCCCGCTTAAGGCCTGGGCATCTGTAGGAACTGGAAATAAGAGTAAACCCACGGTCTGGAGATGTTGTGTGTCCACTGCAGGCCACTGGCTTCCTTCTGAAGCTCTAGATGGAAATGAAGACGTTTCTCCAAAGCAGCTTTTTGTCTGCGGAGATAAGCCCACCCCAGTTCCAAGAATGGTTAAACACCCTGGAAATTATCCTTATAAAATTAGAACTTTGGATTGGAGTAATCACACGGGGGCTGCTGTTCTTGGATTTTAGCAGAAGAGTGGAAGATGGTACTCTGTCCGTTTATTAACTTTACATTATGAAGCATCGAGTATCATGAACCTTGCCCGTAGGCTGGAAGGGGCCCTCGTGTCTGGCTGAGGAACCAGGCTGGAGAAGATAATGTATCTGGGCTCATGTCACACAAGTGAGGATGAAATAAAACCAGTTAGCGTCAGGTTCTAGTCCTTGGTCAAGTCCGGTTCTACCCCTCACTCCTTTTTTATGTAAGTGGTTTTGGGGTCAGGACAGTCAGTTTTCTTTGAGTGGAAAGCAGGAATTCCAATAGTTTGCTTGGATACATGGAATGCATACTTTGAAATTAAAACTTCAGCAGTCCATTTTGTAAATCACTGAACAGCTAAGGGATGTCTACCGTGAGAAACAACCTGGGGTTGGTGGAAAACCCCGACGTAGAGTTGTTCTGGGAGCCGCCTTTTTCTGGTCCCTTAGAGAATCTTATCTTAGATTCAGCTTAAGTTGTGGAAAATACGTTTCGAGGGGAGAAGTGTGTACAGCGGAGGTTGGAATTGTACCCCTGCCCCGCTGGGCTGTGCTTCACCTCTTGCCCTTGGATTTTGATGGTTTGTTAATGGAATGACTGTTGCTTTTACTATGGGGGGGAAATTCACAAAGAGTCCAGGCAAACCAGATGACTTAAATTCCATCAGTGGGAAAATGCAAAGATCGTTACTGTTGCAGGGGGCTGGGGGGTTGGGGGGAGATGTCCTTGGGCCCTGATGTTTATCCTGTATATTTCTTCTAATACAGTATCATTTAGATCTGATCGTAGCTTACTCCCTGACTGCATCTGGATTCTTTGGGCCTTGATCATTTCCTTCCATCCATGCCGACTTGCATTCTTCCAACCTCTCAGTCACTTCTTTGGACCTTTGCGCTTACCATTCAGCTGCTGGCACATTTCTCTCATGTTTATCGGGCAAGCTCCTTGTCCTTCTAGGAGTTCATTATGTAACACCTCTGCTTGGTTTTTGTCCTGGCCAACCAGTCTACAATAAGCTTCTGCAGTCCTATCACATCTTTCTGTGTAGCATTTTTGTTGTTAGCTAAAGAATACTTACTTTTATCTTCCCCACTCTGACTCCCAGAATGTAAATAACGTGGGAGAAGAGACCTTATCTGTCTTGCCTCTTCTGAGTTCTCGGAAGCTAGAAGTGTCTGACACCTAATAGACAGTAAATACATATTTCCAGGAAGACAGTGGTTTGGAGTTAGCATGTCTTAGGTCTAGTTTTGGTGTTGCCCCTAATTCACTCTTTGGCCTTGATCAAGATCCCTCCTCTCAGCCGGCGCCGCGGCTCACTAGGCTAATCCTCCGCCTAGCGGCGCCGGCACACCGGGTTCTAGTCCCGGTCGGGGTGCCGGATTCTGTCCCGGTTGCCCCTCTTCCAGGCCAGCCCTCTGCTGTGGCCAGGGAGTGCAGTGGAGGATGGCCCAGGTGCTTGGGCCCTGCACCCCATGGGAGACCAGGAAAAGCACCTGGCTCCTGCCAACGGATCAGCGCGGTGCGCCGGCCGCGGCGGCCATTGGAGGGTGAACCAACGGCAAAGGAAGACCTTTCTCTCTGTCTCTCTCTCTCACTGTCCACTCTGCCTGTCAAAAAAAAAAAAAAAAAAAAAAAAGATTCCCTCCTCTCTTGGGACTTGTTTTTCTCATCTGTAAAGCGGAGGATTGAGACAAATGATCTCTAAACTTACCTACCAAGACAGGTTCTACAAACCACGAAGGAGTCCTGAGATGTCTGCAGCAGAATAACCTGTTTTTAGTCTCCCAGACCATGCCTATGGGAGGGCTGTGAGAGGACTTTGCTTGTCCAAAGGCGGTGTAGGGCTGGCACCCTGGACAATTCCCCCGTGGCACCTGCTGCCCGGAGATCTAGTACCTGGCTTGTTCCTGGGCTAGTTGCGTGGCTTCCTCCAACGCCAGCCTTGCAGCTTCCTCTTCCTGTTGCCTCCTCTCCTCTGCCTCCCACTGGGCCTTCGCCGCCGCTTCCTGTTTCTGCCGCAGGTACTCCAGCCGTTCCTCCTCGGCCATTTCCATCAGGCGCTTCTGTTCTGCTGCTAACTGCATCTCCAGTTCCTTCTGCCTTTGCTTCTCTGCCTCTGCAGAATAGAGAGGAGTGGGCTCAGTAGGGGGCATCATTGGGCAAAGCAGCTTTCGGGTCCCACTCTCGAGTCTGATTCCCAGGGTTTCCTTGAGAGAAACTTAACAGGTCCCTCTCTGGGGATTACCTGGGGCGGGGGTGGGGGGCGGTGACTTTACTAATCAGTCCTTTATGAAGCACTACCATGTGCTACAAAGACTTGGGGCAGAATTTTCTAGAGCCTGCCATGTTTATGGCATGGTGGGCAGTGGGGTTGGGAAGGGGTGTTGGATCAGAGTCCAGAAAAGCTTGGTGCGTACTCAGCTGGACTGGCATTTTGAAGAACCAGTGTCATCTGCTGACGTTCTGCCTCATTACCAGGCTGGAAAGAACAAAAGGATGAAGGGAAAAAAAAACCAAAACAGGCTGGCGAGATTGTGCTTAAAGCTCTCCAGGTGTCCATGCCTGTCTCCACCTGCTAGGGAAGGCAGCACGGAGCAGGACTATGTCTCCAGTTTTGGTGACCCCAGAGGACAGAGGGCGGGCAGGGTGTCTGTTCAGGAGATAGAAACTGGGAGCAGGCCCAGTCATTTGCCCAGGTTCTTTGATCTACCGCCAGCTCACTGCAGTCACACCTAGCAATTACTTTGGGAAAAACAGCTTGTGCATTTACAGTGTTTCACCCAATGAATGCATGCCCACAGAGGGATATGGGTATTTGTTCCACAGACAGCCGAAGCCAAGGGCTCAGGAGTCCCCTCACCGGCCCTCTCTGCCGCCTCCTGCTGCTGCTTCCTCTGGAGTTCTCGCAGTTTCTTCCGGAACTCCTCTTGCTGCAGGCGGGCTCTCTGCTGGGCCGCCTGCATCAGGAGCCGCTGCTTTCTCTCCTCCTCCGCCCGCCGCTGCTCCTCTTCCTCGAGTCTCTGTTTCCTTAAGCTGGGAAAACAGGCGGAATCCTCGTGAGATCAGCACTCTGGGGCAGCTTTGGCCACGTGGAGGCTCCAGGGCGCAGCCCCCACCTCCTCCAAGGAAGAGGTTCTGCTTTGCAAGGGCAGCCAGCGTGGCAGAGCAGAGGCCAGGGGAACACAGTGGGCCTGGAACCAGAAGCCTCGAGGTTTCCGTAGCCAGCTCTGCTCTCTTGGGTCTGCAGTCCCCAGAGCTCCATTTTTCCATTCTTAACAAAATGGATTTTTTTTTCTTTTAATTTTTTTGACAGGCAGAGCGGACAGTGAGAGAGAGACAGAGAGAAAGGTCTTCCTTTGCTGTTGGTTCACCCTCCAATGGCCGCTGCGGCCGGCGCATCGCACTGATCCGAAGCCAGGAGCCAGGTGCTTCCTCTTGGTCTCCCATGGGGTGCAGGGCCCAGGGACCTGGGCCATCCTCCACTGTACTCCTGGGCCACAGCAGAGAGCTGGACTGGAAGAGGAGCAACTGGGACAGAATCCGGTGCCCCTACCGGGACTAGAACCCGGGGTGCTGGCGCTGCAGGTGGAGGATTAGCCTAGTGAGCCGTGGCGCCGGCCAACAAAATGGATTTTGAAACTCCTGCTCCACAGGTTGGTTGTGATGATTCCAATAGAGGCAAAGCCTGCAAAAGGGCCAGCCCAGCCCAGCCCAGCCACGGTTGCAGGGGCTCAACAAACGTTTGCTGGACAGAATCTCAAAGCCTCTGCATCTCCAGGAACCCTTATGGGGACCAGACTCTGTGGCTGCTTTCCGGCCCAGGTGTTCCTGGGAAAGGGTGGGAGGGAACAAGCATGGCACGAGCCTCAGGACCTCACTCAGACCCTTGGGAAGGCCAGTGCCGGCCTCTCTGCTTCCTGCCATGGCCGTGGCCTTCAGGTCCCCCGGGGGCTCAACCCACCGCATCTCCTCTTTGCGTCTCTGCTGCTCCAGCTCCAGCTCCGCCTTCATCTGCTCCGCTGTCTCCAGCTCCTCCTGCTGGCGCCGCCGCTGCTCGGCCTGCTCCCTTCTCTTCCGCTCCACCTCCAGCAGCCTCTTCTCAGCCCTCTGGGCTCGCAGCCTGTCCCGGGACGCCTGCTCCTGCTCCCTGTTAGGGATGAGGCCCTAAGAGACCAGAGTGCGCTCAGTACAAGGACCACACGGGGCTGTCTTGGCAGTGAGCCCTTCTCCAGCCTGGTTGGAGTCACAGAGCAGACCCCACACTGTGCCCATGGCCTTGCAAACTCTGCCACCACCAACTTTGGCTTTGGGGTCCAGCTGACCTCTATTCTAGACTCTCAAACTCACTTTGGGGTCTGGGGATCACAATTTAATTTTCCTGGTACTGTCTTACTCATGGGGCTGTTAGGATTCCTTGAAATAAGGCAAGTGGAGCCAGGCATTTGGTCTAGTAGTTAAGATGCCCACAATGGAGTCTATAAGTTCAGTTCCAGCTACAACTCTGGCTTTTTATTTTTTATTATTTTTTTTTTAATTTTTTGACAGGCAGAGTGGACAGTGAGAGAGAGAGAGAGACAGAAAGGTCTTCCTTTGCCGTTGGTTCACCCTCCAATGGCCGCCATGGCCAGCGCACCGCGCTGATCCGAAGGCAGGAGCCAGGTATTTATCCTGGTCTCCCATGAGGTGCAGGGCCCAAGTACTTGGGCCATCCTCCACTGCACTCCCTGGCCACAGCAGAGAGCTGGCCTGGAAGAGGGGCAACCAGGACAGAATCCGGCGCCCTGACCGGGACTAGAACCCAGTGTGCCGGCGCCACAAGGCGGAGGATTAGCCTAGTGAGCCGTGGCGCCGGCCAACAACTCTGGCTTCTAACTCCAGCTTCCTGTTCATGCAGCTCCTGGGAAGGCAGCCGAAGATGGCTCAAGGACTTGGGTTCCCTGCCATCCATGGGGGAGGCCTGCATCGAGTTCCTGGCTCTTACTTTTGGGCAATTGGGGAATGAACCAGTAAATGGGAACTCTGACATCTCTCCCCCTGTCACACTGCTTTTTATAATTTAATACATTAAAAATTAAGGGGCAAGTGTTTGGTGCAGCAGGGAAGCCATTACTTGGTATGCCCACACTCCATATCTGAATGGGTTCAAGTCCTGACTTTTTTTTTTTTTTTTTTAAAGATTTATCCATTTATTCGAAAGGCAGAGCTACAGAGTGACAGGCAGAGACAGAAATCTTCCATCTGCTGGCTCATTCCCCAGACGGCCACAGCAGCCAGAGCTGGGCTGATCCAAAGCCAAGAGCCTCATCTGGGCCTCTCACATGGATGCAGGGGCCCAAGCACTTGGGCCATCCTTTGCTGCTTTCCCAGGCACATCAGCAGGAAGCTGGATCAGAAGTGGAGCAGCTGGGACTCCAACCAGCGCCCATATGGGATGCTGGTGCACAGGGCAGAGGCTTCACCTACTGTGCTGGCCCTCTGGCTCCACTTCTGATTGCAGCTTCCTGCTACTGTGCACCCTGGGAGGCAGCAGGTGATGGCTCAAGTAGTTGATTGCCTGCTGCCCACCTAGAGGAGACCAGGATTCAGTCCCTGGCTCCTGGCTTTGGCATGGGCTAGCCCCAGCTGTTGCAGGCATTTGGGGAGTGAACCAACTTTATCTCACAAAATTGTCTTGTCTTTCCAGTAAATGAAACAATTAAAACAGGTTATTAAAGAGAAAATTATGCATGTATCAACATAATGTCCAGTACACCATAGGTTCCAGAGTTCTTGACCCTAGCTGCCCTTTAGAATTTCCCAGAGAAGATTTACCAGTTTTTAAAAAAGCTTTATTTGAAAGGCAGAGTAACAGAGATAGGGAGAGACAGGTTTTTCTATCCACTGATTCACTCGCCAAATGGCTGCAATGGCCAGGGCTGGGCCACGTGAAAGCCAGGAGCCTGTAACTCCATCCTGGTTTCCCATGTGGGTTCAGGGTCCAAGCACTTGGACCATTTTCCACTGCTTTCCCAGGGAGCTGGATCGGAAGTAGAGTAGCTGGGACTCAAACCAGCACTCGTAAGTGATGTTGCTTAACCCCTGTGCCATTGCTCCACCCAAGGAATTTTTAAAAATTGAGGCCGGGGCTCATGAAATGCAAAACTAGGTGGGAAGCCACAGTGCACCACAAGCTGCTTGGGTTTATTCCAGGGTGAGGTCAGTGCTGGGAACCACAGGTTCCAGATAGAGGCTACTTCTCCAGGGGTGACCTCAGGTGTAGATGGGCCAGAATCACATCTGATCCTGTAGAAACCCACCAGTAAAGGTGGTTCTGTCCCTTTGTGTGAATGTTGTAGCTTGCTTTCCTCTCTCATCCTTCCTCCTCAGGCAGAAATAGGCCTATCGGAAACTCCACATGTGTGGCTTTGAGTGCAAACTCCTTGCGTGGCAGAAGCAAGATGGTACTAGGGATCGATGGTGAACCTAAGACGTTCTCACGCTCTGCAGCTTCAGGAAAGTTCTGCTCACAAATTAAAGTTTGCACAGAGCACAATCCCATGATTGAGAGGGACCAAACTCTAAAGGAGCCATCTTTCTGAAATCCTGTTTTTTAGAAGGCCACGGGCTATAAAATCAACGATTTTAAGGGGCCAGTGCTATGGCACTGCGGGTTAACGCCCTAAAGCACCGGCATCCCATATGGGGGCTAGTTCTAGTCCCGGCTGCTCCTCTTCCCATCCAGCTCTCTGCTATGGCCTGGGAAAGCAGTAGAAGATGGCCCAAGTCCTCGGGCCCCTGCACCCATGTGGGAGACCAAGCAGCAGCTCCTGGCTCCTGGCTTCGGATCAGCACAACTCATGCTGTTGCGGCCATCTGGGGAGTGAACCAACAGATGGAAGACCTCTCTGTCTCTAGTTCTCTGTGTAACTCTTTCAAATAAATAAGTCTTTAAAAAAAAAATCAATGATTTTAAATAGTGACAACAGCCCTGAATTTGAGGTCAGAGGGTCTGCGTTTAAGTATTGGCTCCACCACCCGATAATGGTACAATTTTTGGCAGCTGGCATTTAGCTCTTTCTAGCTTTAGTCTCCAGTTGCGGTTCAAGGTGTGGTTGTAAAGATTAGGTAAGATTCAGCAGAGTGTACTACACGCACATTTAACTCAGGTGAGCTTAACTATAGTGGCTCTGCTGCGTGTGTGTCCTCAGCGATTTATTTGAAAGACAGAATTAGAAAAGGAGCAAGAGAGACCTCCCATCTACTGGTTCACTCCCCAGATGGCTGCAACAGCTCAGACCAGGCTGGAGCCAGGAGCCAGGAGCTCTATCTGGGTCTCCCAGGTGGGTGGAAGGAGCCCAAGCACTTGAGCCAACTCCTGCTGCTTTCCCAGGCATGTCAGCAGGGAGCTGGATTGAAGTAGTTTCAAGATGCTATTTTCTTTAAGACCTCTAAATAAAGTTCAGCACCTTCGTTTCAGTGGAAGGACTAACACAGGGGCCAGTGCTGTGGTGCAGCAGGTTAAACCACTCCTGCAGCCCTGGCTCGAGGCCCTGCTGCTGCATCTGGGAAGGCACAGATGGCCTAAGTGCTTGGGCCTCTTCCTCCACCTGGGAGACCTGGATAGCGTTCCTGGCTCCTGGCTTCCACCTAGCCCAGCCCTGGCTGTTGTGGCCATTTATGGAGTGAACCAATGGATGGAAGATCTGTCTCCCTTTTTGTAACTCTGCCTTTCAAACAATTTTTTTTTAATAGTAACCTATTCCAGAGGAAATATGGGCTATGTTGGTCTTACTGAGAGATGACGTATCTCAGTGAGGGTGTTCTTTCTCTCTCTCTCCATTGTAGAGATGTTCACGGGCAATTTTAATACTCAGTTTTCCTCTTCAAACCTCCACATTAGAATCAAGGTCCTAGAACAGAGCAACACTGGTATAAAAAAGCAGACGTGTGTGTGTGTGTGTCTAAGCTGCCTCAGGTCCACCCGTGTGCACCAGAGAAGCAATTTCCAGTCTGGTAGGCAGGCACTGGAGGAGCTCCAGGTCAAGTTCAGGATAGTGTTTGGCTCTGGGGCCAGTATCCACCATTCCCTGTAACCAGGAAAGTGCATCTCCTACAGATGGGTGCTGTGCCCATTTCTGCTCTTTAAGGGGCGTCTGGGCCCTGGCACACTCAGGGGTTCACACATAACGCTGTATAGCAGAGGGGTCCTGCCACCCTGTGCCTTTGATCAGTTCTGAATTCTTGCTTGATTGCTTTCAGATTTATTTACTTATTTGAAAGGCAGAGCTACAGAAAGAGGGAGAGGCAGAGAGAGAGAGAGAGAGAGAGAGAGAGAGAGAGAGAATCTTCTATCCACTGGTTCACTCCCCAAATAGCTGCAGTGGCCAGGGCTGGGCCAGGTTGAAGCCAGGAGCCCAGAGCTGCTTCTGGGTCTCCCACATGGGTCCAGGGACCCAAGCACTTGGGCCAGCTTCTACTGCTTTCCCAGGCACATTAGCAGCAGGGAGCTGGATGGGAAATGGAGCAGCCAGGACATGAGTGGGCACCATATGGGATACCGGGGCTGCAGGTGGCAGCTTTACCTGCTGTGCCACAGCGCCGGTCCCCAGTTCTGATTTCTTACTAGAGTCAGGGGCTACCGGGGTAGAACAAATGTGACCACTACGTATATTAGAACCGTTTCAGTACCTGCAATGCAGTTTAAGGACAGTTCCCTCCAGCCCCAGTTGCCCCAAGTGGGGCCAGAGCTCCCCCTCCTGGCCTGGATGAGAACTGCAGGTTCTACCTTGGACGGGTCTTCCTGGCTTTCCTCTTCTTCAGGTTCCAGGTCGCCTGCAGCAGTCACAGCCTGGGTGGGCGACAATCTGCTGTCTATAGAAACTTGGGTCTCCGGAAACTCGTCTTTGTGAGAAAGCCAAGGGCCTTCTACGGAGTCTGCGGAGAAGCAACCTCTCGCCGAGGCGTCTTCTGTCCTTGTTGAGTGGACATCAGGCCCCGTTAACTCTGCCAGCTCCCGGTTCCTTCCCTTCCGGGGCCTGTTCCTCTTCACCACTGGCCTTTTGGCTTTGGAAATCAGCTCTGCTTTCCTTTCAGGCTTGGAGTGCCTTGATTTCCCTGGGGGGAACAATTAGAGACAGAGGCATCAGTTCAGCGAATGCGACCTCCACCAGCCTTTTTGATAGCTGTTAAGTTTTAGCGGGTGATGGAATCACCTGGGGAGTAGACAGCTGAGCCCCACCCTCCAGAATCTGGTCCAGTGCATTGTACCAACCACCCCACGTGTTTTGAGAATAGTAGGTTAAGCATCCGCCTATGGCACCAGCATCCCATATGGATGCCAGTTCGAGTACCGGCTGCTCCACTTCTAATTGAGCTAGCTGCTAATGGCCTGGGAAAGCAGACGATGGCCCAAGTGCTTGGGCCCCTGCACCCACGAGGGAGACCCAGAGGAAGCTCCTGGCTTCAGATCGGCCCAGCTCCAGCTGTTACGGCCATTTGGGGAGTGAACCAGCGGATGGAAGACCTTTCTTTCTCTGCCTCTCCCTCTTAAGTAAATAAATAAATCTTTAAAAAACCAAAAAACCAAAAACCCAAGTTTCTAGAAAGGCAGAGAGAGACAGACATAAGTGGACTCAGAGTTTCCGACCACTGATTCCCCAAACACCTGTAATGGCCCAGGGCGGAGCTGGGCTGAGGGTGGAAGTCAAGAACACAGTCCAGGGTGCCCATGTAGGTAGCAGGAACCCAATCCTCTCCTGTTTGAGTCATCACCTCTGCCTCCCACGTCTGCAACAGCAGGAAGCTGGAGTTAGGGGCTGGAATGAGGCACTGTATTAGCATTGTGATTTGCTGTGTGGGAGTCCTGCCCTTCTACCACATTTTGGACTGTGACCTGTCACATGAGCCAGCTGTGGGACTTTGTGTTCACAGCACGTGTCTGCTCTCATGTGTTTGGGTTTTGGAGTATTCCCAGCTTCAGCGTTCTGGATTACAGATGCTCACTCTTCAGTTATTAATTCACAGAGAGAGTGATAACAGCGCACATTGAGAGTCCAATAGGAAGGGCCCAACCCTGGTTCCTCCACTGACTATGTGATCTTGTGCAAACCATCCAACCTCTGGGTCGCAACTGCTCCATGTAGGTAATAACACCTCCTCCATGAGGACTTTATAGGATCGTGCATGCAGTGCCCTTAATGGGCAGGCATTCATTTAATAGGCACTGTTATTATCAACGTCTCTGGGTGACCCCAGGTCTCTAGGGCCCCTGGTTTCCTCCTCGTCTGTCCACTGACATGGGGTGGTCCAGGGGGCTCAGAGCAGAGAGGCTGTCCAGGTAGATGCGTGCTGATCCTTGGTGGCCCTCCTGGCCCTGCCTTGAGTGTCCTGGGTCGTCCCTAACACAGGCTCTTACCCCCAGCAGCCTCTGCTGCTCCGAGGACCTTTCCTTCTCTCTCCCTTCCTGGGGCTTTGGTCTTGTCTGTCTTGGTTCCTTTGGTCTTGTCTGTCTTGGTTCCTTTTCTTCTGTTGGCCTTGTCAATCGACTCCTCCTCCTCCTAAAGGGGAGAAGTAAAGAAAGGGAGCATGATCCACGCAGGACACCAGAAAGCCCATCGAAGGAAGATTACATTAGACAAGGTGAAGGAATGGCTTAGAATGGAAACTGCATGGGTTCCAGATGAAACAGAAGAGCGGAACTTTGAGGACATGGAGCCAGTTGGGAGATTTGAAGGTCCAGCATTTGATTTAAAATTGCTAGGAGTTGGGGCTGGCACTGTGGTGCACAGGGTTAAGCTGCTGCCAGTGACGGCTGGCATTCCATAGGGGCACCGATTTGAGTCCTGGCTGCTGCACTTCCGACCCAGCTCCCTGCTAATGTGCCTGGGAACACACAGCAGAAGATGGTTCAAGTACTAGGGCACCTGCACCCATGTGGGAGACCTGGATGAAGCTTCTGGCTCCTGGCTTTGGCCTGGCCCAGTCCTAGCCATTGTCATCATTTAAAGAGTAAACCAGCAGGCAGAAGATTTCTCTAACTCTGCCTTTCAAACAAATAAATGATCTTTAAAAAATTGCTAGAAGTAATTTCATACGAGGAAAAAAAAAAACCACACACTTTATGGCCTGCTTTTCTTTTGGAGTTAAATCATGGCCTACAGAGCTGGATTAATGTGAGGCAGTTTTACCTTTGATAGGTTGATGTTGCCACCCCTAATGGTTGGCTTTTTGTTTTAAAGTATTTATTTTATTTGAAAGTCAGAGATGTCTTTTTCTCTCTAAATATATAGACAGATTTCTATCGACACAAAGAGTTAGAGACTAAATCTATTTATCCATCCATCTACTCACCCACAAGTATAGAGATACCCACAGGGAGATCTTCGATCTGCTGGTTCACTCCCCCAAGTGCCTGTATGGCTAGGGCCAGGCCAGGCTGAAACCAGGACTCAGGAACTCTGCCCAGGCCATCCCCATGGTGGCAGGGACCCAAGTACTTGCGCCATCACCTGCTACCTCCCAGGCTGTGCATTACCAGGAAGCTGGGTTGGAAGAGGAGCCGAGACTGAAGCCCGGGCCCTCCAATATGGTACATGGGTATCCCAAGCAGCATCGTAATTGCTACACCGAACTCCCGGCCCCACTACTTTAAATCAAAGCCAGCTTTGTTCACTGCTGCATCACTTACTGACTTTCACAAAACCTCAGGCAGATGGTCCCAGCCCTGTCCGCCTTTGCTTTTTCTCCTGCATTGGGACAACCTGGATGTCTTCCTTAGACTCAATGGCAGAGCAGGGCCATGCTACCCACTCGGCATCTTTGTAGGGACTGGACATGGGCGCCACCCTTCAGGACGATATAGACCAATGCTGAGGTGCACGGCTGGACCTCAGCCCCACTCTTGCCCCCTTGGACAGAAGCCCTCAAATGAGGGTGTTTCCAACAGTTCGTGGAAAGTGAGATTACAACAGGAGCATAATTTTGTTGTGGAAAAGTCTTAAAATCCGTGCACAGTTTTTTCAGAACATGCATTTTCCATCAAGTTTGGAAGTCCCCTCATATAGTAAGCAAATGTCACAACTGCACCTGGTGGCCTCGATGGGTTCCAGGCAGGCTTTTCAGATGGAGCTCATCTGTGTTTTCATTCACGTGCCCGAGGCTGGCAGGTGGCCGCTGGCTGAACCATCCTGGAAGAGATGTGGCTACTGCAGCTGGGCTCTCCGGCGAGTCAGGCCTGTGCCTGGGCAGCCCTCTGGGGGGTGCACTGTGCTCTCCGTCTCTTTGGAAAGAGCAGACCGACAGGACGCGGAATGAGAGAAAATTCTAGCAGGAAGGAGGAGGGCAAGTGACCACGGGCTGAGTGAGCACCTGCTCCGGGCCAGGCCCTGCACGGGACAGCTGACATACCAAGTCACCTGTCTCCCTCATCACATCCCCGCGTAAGGGGGGTTAGCAAGACTGGTGTGTGTTTTGGGCTTTCTTCAAGGCAAAGCCTAAAACTTAGGCAGAGGCAGAAACAGTTGCTGCCTTTGGTTGAGTGACACAGAATGAATGGGCCGCCTCCCATCAAAGGCTTAGCTGAGCGGAGGAGAGGGACCTGGAAGACATTGTCTTAGGAGCAGGCAGCAACCCATCCATTCCTTTATGCCCTCTGAATTCTGTTCCTGATCAAACCCAGCCGAGAGTGCACGCGTTGAGCTAGTTTAGCAGGGTGTAGAATTGTCGTCCCTGATCATGTACCCTGGGGGTAAAAAGGCCACTGAAACCCACCATAGGGTTTCAGTAAGAGCCGGGAGCAGGCACGTCTCTTTTTAGCTCCATCAGTAATGTTTCCTGAGCTATGCCAGTCTGGGGCCCCTGCTGTGGGAACTTCAGAAATAGTTGTTGAATGAGGTAAATGGGATTTCTTGGAAGTGCAGGAGTCTTTTAGTCTTCCAACATCACTCTATAAAACCCCCCAGATGAAATGTGCTTTAGAACTAAGTGCTAGCGAAACCTCTCTTCTCCCCGAGGATCAGGTACTCTGCAAACGAACACCCTAACCCTGAACGTGTTGCTTGTTTTCTTTTTAAACGTTCACTTTCAGGAGTGGCTGCATCCAAACTGACATTTACTCTCAATGACTATAATGATTTTATGGAGTGTTTATATATTTGTGTCCTCCTGAGATTCTGTAAAATTCTGTTCATTTTTTTTTTATAAGGAGGTGTTGCTAAATACCTTGTGAAAAATTATTCAGTGTGAACATTTTAAAAAAAAATGCAAGTTCTCCAGTTGCTGCCTCAGTCACGCAAGCACCTCTCTCTCTGTTCCTGGAGAAAACAGAAGTTTTTGACCCAAGCAGGGATCCTTATTCCACTGGGCAGGTGGTTTTGTCTGTCTTGACTGTGTCTCAAGCCACTGAGGCTCCCGGGAGGTCACACGGGGCTCGGGTTGAAGCTGGAGGCAGAGGTGACCACGCCTGCTGCCATGGCTCACCTGCTGCTCCACGGGCTGAGTGAATGCCAAGAGGACAAACAACGGGTGACCTCAGGTTTCTGGGCATCTCAACAGACCTCAAGTTTATGGACAGAGCTGCTGCCACCTGTCAGAGTTGACCTTCACGCCTCACCTCCCCAGCCACACCACATGGAATACTAGAAAACTCATCACAGTACTGTCTTTCCCATCCATCTCGTTCTCTGAATTCCAGCTGTCCCAGCGTGCTAGCTGCCAAGAATGCTCATGCATCTCAGGAAAAAAACCAGAAGCTAAGTTAATGAAAAATAGAGAAAAGACACAATACAAGCTGAGAAGCGCACGCCGTGACCGTGTTGAACACTTACGTCTCTTTTACGCTATCTGCCTCGGGGGTCTGGATGCATTCAGGCAGGGAAGTGCTGAGAGGGACAAGGGTCGCCATCCCTGGCTCTGTGGAAACAAAGGGGACCCCAGTCAGGGAGGGGTGAGCCAAGCATCCCAGAGAAAATCAGACAATGGGAAACGCTGCGTAGCTCAGACATCAGTAAATGCCATAGAAATGGGTGTTGGTACCTGGCAAAGTGACATTACAATGACCTTAAAACAGCCTTTGCGGGGCTGGCGTTCTGGTGTACTGGGTTAAGCAGTTCCTGTGATGCCAGCATCCTGTTATCAGAGTTTCCTGTTCGAGTCCCAGCCGCTCTGTTTCTGATCCAGCTCCCTGTTAACACACCTGGGAGAGCAGTGGAAGATGGCCCAGGTGCTTGGTGGGAGACCCAGAGGGAGCTCCTGGCTCCAGCAGGGCCCAGCCCTGGCTGTTGTGGCCAACTGGGGTGTGAGCTGATGAAAGGAAGATTTCTCTCACTCTGCCTTTCAAGTAAAGAAAAATTTTTTTTTTTCAAAATCCCATCCTTTGGAGTGTTCTAGCTTTTGACAAGAAATCTCACTCCTGGGTATTCATGACAAGGAAATAATTCAAAAGAAGAAACAAGTTTTTGTGCAAACTTAATATAACACTACTATTAATAATTGAGTAATAGCTGAACAAGAGACTTGGGGAAATAATTTATGACACATTAATTTGACACTTAAAATCATGGTTAAAAAGATACTTCGGGTGGTCATGTGACACAACGGGTTCAGCACTGCTGGCATTCCCTACTGGTGCGCCTGGTTCGAGTCCTGGCTACTCTTGGCTTCCGATCTAGCTCCCTGCTAATGCACCTGGGAAGGCAGACCATGGCCCAAGTACTTGGGTCCCTGCCACCCACTTGGGAGACCTGGATGGAGTTCCTGGATCCTGGTTTTGGCTTGGTCCAGCCCTGACAGTTGTGGTTTTTTGGGGAGTGAACCAGCAGATGGAAGATATATTTTTCTGTGGCTCCCTCTTTGTCACTCTGCCTTTCAAATAAATGAGAGAGAGAGAGAGAGAGAGAGAGAGAGAGAGAGAAATAGAGAGAGGACAAGAGAGACAGGCAGAGGCTGGCTGGCTCTGTGTTACAGTGTGTTAGAGCCATGGTCTACAGTGCCAGCATCCCATATGGGTACCATGTGAGTCCAGGCTGCTCCATTTGTGATCCAGCTCCTTGCAAAGCACCTGGAAAAGCAGGGGAAGATGGCCCAAGTGCTTGGTCCCTGCACCCACATCAGAGACCTGGAAGCAGCTCTGGGCCCCTAGCTTCAGGCTGGCTCAGCCCTGGCTGAGCGAACCAGTTGATGGAAGATCTGTGTCTCTGTATCTCTAACTCTGCCTTTCAAATAAATCTTTCTTAAAAAAAGATAAACAAGCAATATGGAAAATATTTGATATGACAAAGATAAACTACAGCTATTCTGTAGAACTTGGTAAATAAAATAGTTCTGTAGAACTATTCTGTAAGAACTTGGTAAAATCTGGATAGATAAGGACTGCAAGAGAAAAAAAGGAAAGCATGTTTGAGAGGTTTATATATATTTAAATCTTAAAACCTTAGTGTGGTTATGACATTAAAAGCAAGTTGATATAAAAAATGTTGGGGGGCCAGCACTGTGGACTAGCAGGTAAAGCCACTGCCTGTGATGTCGGCATCCCATATGGGCGCCAGTTTGCATCCCGGCTGCTCCACTTCCCATCCAGCCCCCTGCTAATGAGCCTGGCAAAGCAGATAAGATGGGCTGAGTACTTGGACCCATGCACCCATGTTGGGGACCTGGATGAATGGCCCAGCCCGGGGTGTTGCAGCCACTTGGGGAGTGAACCGGCAGATGGAAGATCTGTCTCTCCCTCTTTCTCTGTACAGTGTTTCAAACAAATACATCAATCTTTAAAAAAAATATTGGGACTGGTGTTGTGGTACAGTGGTTTAAGCCACCATTTGTCACTCTGGCATCCTATGTTGGAGCGCCAGTTTGAGTCCTGGCTGCTCCACTTCTGATTCAGCTCCCTGCTAATGCACCTGGGAAGCAGAAGATGGCCCAAGTGCTTGGGCCCCTGCACCCACGTGAGAGATCCAGGTGGAGTTCTGGGCACCTGGCTTTTGCCTGGCCCAGCCCTGGCTGCTGTGATCATTTTGGGGAATGAACCAGCAGATGGAGAATCTGTCACTCTTGCCTTTCAAAAATTTTTATCGAAATGTTACTTTATGAAAACAACTTAGACACATCCCACAGCTCACCTCTCTTGCTGACTTGCTGGGTGCTCTGAAGACCACATTGGTCTTTAAAAAAAGATTTGAAAGGCAGAGTTCCTAAGAGGTGGAGAGGCAGGGAGGGAAGTTGGAGGAGACTTCCACAGTGGCCGGAGCTGGGCTGATCCAAAGCCAGGAGCTTCTTCTAGGTCTCCTATGTGGGTGGGCCATCTTCTACTGCCTTCCCAGGCCATAGCAGAGAGCTGGATCGGAAGTGGGGCAGCCATGACTCAAACTGGCACCCATTTGGGTTGCCGGAACTGCAGGCAGTGGCTTTACCAGCTATGCCATAGCATCGGCCCCCACGTTGGCCTTTTAGGAAAAGAGTCTCCAGACTAAGATGTCACATAGGATGACCTTGCTTACTTTTTTTTTTGGCAGGCAGTGAGAGAGAGAGAAAGGTCTTCCTTCCGTTGGTTCACCCCCTAAATGGCCGCTCCAGCCAGTGCGCTGTGCTGATCTGAAGCCAGGAGCCAGGTGCTTCCTCCTGGTCTCCCATGTGGGTGCAGGGCCCAAGCACTTGGGCCATCCTCCACTGCCTTCCTGGACCACAGCAGAGAGCTGGACTGGGAGAGGAGCAACCGGGACAGAACCGGCGCCCCAGTAGGAACTAGAACCCGGGGTGCTGGTGCCGCAGGTGGAGGATTAGCCTAGTGAGCTGCAGCGCTGGTGATGCCACCTTACTTTAAAATTTAATTAAACAGTTTGACTATGGAACCTGAATTTCGCCATAGAAAATTTGGAACACACATACAAGCATGAGACACAAAAAACTCCCTATGATCATCACAAAACTGAATGACAAAAATGAGAAAGACTGCAAAAGCTGGAACTCCTATCTATTTGGGGTTGCAAGGTACAATGGTAGAACCACCCAGGAAGAGAGTTGATATGTTTCTTAAAAAATTAAATACCTACCTACCATATCATTCACCTGTTCTCCTCCTAGGGACCTGACCCAAGAGAAATGGAAGTACATGTTTGTAGAAAGAATTGTACACCAATACTCATGGCAGCTTCTGGTGACAGTAAGAAACTTGAAACATCCCACATAAACAGGTAGATAAATGGAATTCTGTTCAGCAGTACAAGGAGTGAATGAGTGATGCACTTGACAGCATGGATGAATCTCACAATAACTATGTTGAGCAAAAAAAAAAAAAATCAGATGAAAGAGTATACGTGGAATGATTATGGAATTTCTGCTGCTTTCCCAGGCACACAGAATTCTAGAAAATGTAGTGCCAGAAACCAGACCACAGGACAGGCCCCTAAATATATTTTTCTAGAGATTTTATTGAGTTACACAGAAAAGGAGAGGGGGAGAGGAGATGAGGGGGATGAGGTTGAGAGGGAGGGAGGTTTTTCATTTACTGGTTCACTCCCCAAATGGCGCAATAGCTGGAGCTGAGCTGATCCAAAGCTAGGAGCTTCTTCCAGGTCTTCCACGTGGGTGCAGGAACCCAAGCACTTGTGCCATTTTCTGCTGCTTTCCCAGGCATATTAGCAGGGAGCTGGATCGGAAGTGGAGCAGCTGCTACTTGTACCGGTGCTCATGCAGAATGCTGGCGCTGCAGGCCAGGGCTTTAACCCGCTGTGCCACAGTACCAGCCCCCAGCCCCTAAATGTTCTTGAGAAGGATTTCAGTAGCAACACAATATATCAGCCTCTGCATGTACTATCACCAATTTAGCCAACATATAATTTAAGCAGTTCACATTGATTCTCATTTTTTATAACTATGAAGAATTTTACATAGAATATCCTTGAAGGGAATGTTTTTGATTAAAAGATTTATCCTTTCTCCACGTCTGATTAATAAAGGCTGTAGTCATTAAATTTTTAAATACTCATTTTTTGCTTTAAGGACAGATCTTCTTTCCACTAGTTTACTCCTCAAATGCCCACAACAGCTAGATCTAGGCCAGGCCAAAGCCAGGAGACTGGACCTCAATCCAGGTCTCCCTCGTGAGTGACAGGGACTCTGGCACTTGAGAGCCATCACCTGCGTCCTCCTAGTGTGCACATTTGTAGGAATGCAGCTCAGAAGCAGAGCCGGGATTTGGGGTGTGGGCATCTGAACGGCTGCAACAAACGTGCACCCCTCAATGCTTGAGAGAGACTCCAGTAATCAACCTTTGTTCCTCTGAGCAGTAGATTCGTGCACAAGTTATTTCTCCTTCGTTTTATTTGAAGATGTCATCATTCATCATCCCACTAGCATCACTCATCCCCTTAGTACTGTAGGTAACCCACTTTCCAGTATTCAATTGATGGTGGCCCCCACATTCCCAGGGTCTCTTTGCAGCCTGGGTTCCACTTGCCATTCACAAGTGTTCAGGTGGCATTCACTGTCACCCCAACCTCCAGACACTGTTCATGCAGAAGGTGGCTGAAGAAACTGGACAGGTTGATCAGGGATGCACCTTAGAACTTATTGTTTTGGATAATATGTGCAACATTAACAGCAAGAGTTGATTCAAGTTTCCTTGTGACAAGAGTAGCTCTGGGAGGGTTTCTCTCCTTAGCACGGCTGTCTCAGAAAAAACTGCCTCCTTGAGGACTTTGGTGAAGCTCTTACCAATTATTTCAAACTTTGGGACAAGGCACAATAGGACCAGCAGAGGGCGCCTTTGTATTGAGCAAAAGCTGAGGTTTCTCCACTGGAGTGACTTCACCATTTTGAAATCTTGTCAGGTTGGGGAAGTGGACCATGGAAAGGTGATTTTTTTTTTCTTTTAACATAACCTAATATCTTAGGAAGTATTGGAACAAAAATTAAGG